ACTATCCTCTTTTAATTTTTAGAAAGGAATATTTATGATTCAGTATCACAGACAGTTATTTTTATGATTGTCTGTATGCTACCCAGAGTTACAAGACAACTTTTTCTCCAAGAAACACATGATTGCAAGAAGTCTTTGAAAATGTGGAGTATGGAGCTGAGAAAAAAGTGTGGGGTATGAGTAAATCTGAAACTAATGTTAGTCATGAAGTTTTTCAGCAATATGTACAGTTCCCTCTTTAAAATATTTATAGTGTTATGTCTCATAGTAGTTGGGCCTAATTTTCCAAAACACAGCCACAGGAAGAATGTCAGCAGTAGGAGTTAATTTTAAGGTTGAGTGATGGGCACATTGTACCATAAGACAGTGTTTTGACTGCTATAACATACTATAATTCCTAATGAATCTGGTAAATAAGCATATGAGAAATTTATAGCAGTTACATCTTGGAAATACTGAATGAAACAATATATAGAATTTGATTTACCCCTAATAAAAGTAAAGGTTCATGTTATGCAAACACATTTCAGACTTTCTGTGAACTTGTATGTGTGCCACACCCACCTACACATTTTGTCACAGGTGAGATTTGACAAAATGATCTCTACTTACCCTGCTATCTTTGAAAGCCTATGATTCTAGTGACTGTTTCTAAATGCAAATATTATCAACTTCTCAAGGCAAAATTCGTTTTATTCTGTGTATGTATATCTATATCAGTATAAAATATGTGTGTGTGTGCATGTGTTTGCGTGTGTGTGAAGATCAGAAACTCATGGTGAATAAATAACAGGCTTTAACTTTTTCTGCTCATTAGCATATTTCCCCAAGCCAACATAATTCTTGTTTTTCTGTTTTTAGAATAAGCTCCTGCTATCATGTTGGTCAGACAGGAGAAGAGCCATCTCATCTTTTGTTTGTTAGAAGGTTTCAATTATTTAATAAGTACAAGTAATTAAGACATTAAGAATTAAAGTGGCTCCAAGAAGAGCTCTGAGATGCAGAACTGCAGAGTGTTGCCTAGGTTTCTGAGTTTGAATTTCAGCAGAAGTGTGAAAAGTTTCTGCTGCTGCCTCCTTCAAAAGTTTTTAATAAGATGTAATATGTTGACATATTAATCTGAATTGAGACTGAAAAATTACATGAACTTTGATTAATCAGATCAATTGTCAAATCCACCTATTAGGCTATTTCTCTTTATACTAAAATTTTAATTACTCATATCACCAAATAGCTCAGCAAAAATGTTTAGCTTTTGCATATATGTAATAAAATAGTTGATATTGAGGTTCTAGGGGAAGCTAGGATTTTGGGTGTGTGTACCCATGTGAGAGAGACTGAGAGAAGGATTAGGAGTGAATGTATCAGGAATGAATGCTTCTAAAACCTTGTTTTCCAGCAACAGGTTTGATATGCTAATGTGGTCAAAAATAATAAAGAAATTATCATAGCAGTTCTGTATTGTTATAAATGCTTAATCGTCCTACTCTTAGGTTACAAGATATGCCTCAAGAAAGAGGTAGTACAAACACAAGGTTCTTAATATAGGTCCATAAGAAGTGTCATGATGTAATATCTGGATATCTAGGGGGCTACTTTTATTTCTCACACAATAAGAATAAACATTTTGGGATTAAAACTCACTCTACATTAAATTTTTAGAATTTCTGTCTCCATTTGAACAAGTTTTAATATTGTTGATTTCTTCTTCTTTGGAAAATCAGCCCTTCAACTTTTCAAAGACAACTTGAAAATTGGACACCAGTTCATATATAATGCATATATGTTCTCCACTGCTGTCCAAACGTTTTGTAGCTTCATAGTAAAAATAGGGTTAAAATTCTTAAATTAGGGAAAGTGCATGAATTATATAGTGCATCTCTTTATATGACCAAAAATTATGCTGTATTCTACCTACCTGGACACACTTTTGAATAGTATCCACAATTACAAGATTTATTTACAATTCTATTTAAGCTTCTGTAATTTTGAAGGAAACTGAAGAAATTTAGAATCTTGGATGATCTTAAACTTCTGTTTTTTTTTTTGTTTTCTGGGTTTTTTTTTTCTTTTTCCATTTTTTTTATTGCATTTTAGATTTTGGGGTACATGTGAAGAACATACAAGATTGTTGCATAGGTACACGCATGGCAGTGTGATTTGCTGCCTTCCTCCCCTTCATCTATATCTGGCATTTCTCCCCACGCTCTCTCTCCCCACCTCCCCACCCCCCCATCCCTCCCCCTTTTCCCCCCAACAGACCTTCTGGGGTTATTTTTGGCCAGGAGGCAGAGGGAAGTGTTATATAGTACTTGACTCAGCAGCATTCTATTTTCAAGTATTTTTTATTTTACAAGTTTTTCTTATGAAATATGTAATTGTAATTCCTATTTCGATTTTATGAATTGTTTGTTCTATTTCTATAAAATAAATCTATGAAGTTATTCTATTACGTGTATGAAGTATCAAGAAAGGGGATCCTTGTAAAAGTGCAAAGATAGGAAACGAATACCGGGTTGTTTCTCTGGTGCAAGCTGGTTCTCAGCATAGCTCAGGGACCCTCAGTAAATGCTTGTTGAGGGGAAGATTGCTTGAACTTCATTGAGTATGGATTCTTCATAATAATAATAAATTAAAAGAAAACTTTTCATCAGGAAATCAGACAGTATTTCAAAAAAGTCAAATTAATAAATTTGGTGCTTTTTTCAAGTTTTGTTAGTTTTTATTGAAAATTTATGAAGCGTATTTCAAAAATTATTTTGAAAAAGGTGCTGTAATCTTCTAAAGATAGCTGGCATGTGTATAGGATGCCAGGCTAGCCCATCAGGTGAAGTGTCCATTGTGGGACTCACAGATCGACTCATCAGATGGGAAGAGTGTGATCAGTGCAGCATGCATGTTTAATCAGGTAACAATGGGAGCCATACAGGAAGAGGATTATTATTCTAAGAAGAAAGGACCTATAGGATCTTGTGGAAGGTAAACATATCCATAGGATGGGAAAAATAATGTGTATATATACATATATATGTATATATACACACACATACATGGAGAGATAACTGAAATATCATCTTATTGGTGTAAACCATTGTGTTAGTATCAGCATTATTATTGTTGGTATTCACATCTGTATGAGCCATTTGATCAGGATGGATTAGCTGTCAAGTCATAAAGATTGACTTTATGACATGTCCTTTCAAACCTTACAGTTCTAAACTTTCACTGTTTGCATGTACTTTTATGTATAAATCTGCATCTGGAAAGACTGATACTTCTCTAAGGCAGGGGCCAGCAGATGTTTTTTGTACGGGGCCAGGTAGTAAAGTTTTGGACCATAGAGCCATGGCTGCAGTTACCCTGCTCTGCCATTGCAGTGAAAAAGCAGCCATTGATGAGGTGTAAATGAAAGGTATAGCTGTTAGCTTTCTGTTGGCTCAGCTGTACCCACAGGAGCAGGAAACAGGCTGTAGTTTGCTGGCCTCTCCTCGCCACATCCTCTTCTGTTGTTAGCTACCCATCTTGGGGTTTGTTCTGCTGTATGCTATATCTGCAGGTTCCTGTTTGGTGGTCTGCTTCTTTGCTTATGCTTCGTTGACACTGTCTTGTAGGAAAAGCTTGTGGGGACTTCCGTACATCTTTCAAGTTCAGATTTGGGAAGATGTGTGTCACCTCTGTCCTTTCCTGTTCCTCACATATGGAAGCAGTGATGCCCTTCACCCTTCTGCCAAGAGCAGCCTGATTCCAGAGCCAGCCTTGACCAGAGCTTGACCCATATTGGGGGACCTCAGCTCTAGAAGCTGGCAGGGTGTGGGATGATTTCCACCTCTGTGACTGGTGCCAGGAAGGTCTGGGGAGGGAGACAGAGACAGAGACAGACAGACAGACAGACAGACAGACAGACAGACAGACAGTTTGATAATCCCAAATCCCAAAACTGAAATGCTTAAAAATCTGAAGCTCTTTGTGCACCAATATGACTGTCAAAAGAAGTGCTCTTTGGAGCATTTCAGACTTGGGATTTGGGATGCTCAACTTGTATAATGCAAATATTCCAAAATCTGAAAAAACTGAAAATCTGAAATGCTTCTGGTCCCAAGATTTTTGGATAAAGGATGCTCAACCTATATATACAGGGAGAGAGCTGAAAGAATGTGTCTTTTTGGTATATGTTATTGATGTGGGCCGTTTTGTTAATTATCAGCATTATATTGTTGACACCTATATCTGGGCAAGGCTGTGTGACTGGCAAACCGGACCCTCGCCCTCTCAGGTTCAGAGGCCTTTCTTCCTATGCAGAGAGTGAGACCTTGCTGGCTTGCCTGGACACAGAGACTGTTCTCCAGAGCTATGGATTCCCTTCCTCTTTCCTTCACCATGACTGAAGTGCTGCTCCTAACAGGCAGATTGCCCTCAGCTGACTCTATTCTTTAAGTACCAGTGGCGTCCTCATCTTCCATGTGCTGCCCGATTACATGATTCCATCTCTTGGCCATTACTAGGCTCTCAGAGCTGGCCTGACCCAAACTGCTTTGCGCTTTCTTGCTGCCTTCCGTCCCGCTGCCCCTGTGCCTTGACCTCTCACTGACCCTCGTTCCTGAGAGCTCTTGCCTTCACTCTCAGCCCAGCATGAGTTTTGCCAAGGAAGAGATTCTTTTCAGTGGAGTGATATATAATTTGATTTTTGTTCAAATTCCTACCTTTTATAGTCATTGGTAGTTAAATTACAAATAAATCTTATATTAAAATTGATATTATTATTATTATTTTTTGAGACAGCGTTTCGCTGTTTCACCCAGGCTGGAGTGCAGTGGCATAGTCTTAGCTCACTGAAACCTCTGCCTCCCAGATTCATGCAGTCCTCCTGCCTCACCCTCCCAAGTAGCTGGGATTACAGCCATCTGCCATCACGCCATGCCAATTTTTGTATTTTAGTAAAGATGGGCTTCACCGTCTTGGCTAGGCTGGTCTCGAACTCCTGACCTCAGGTGATCTGCCCGCCTTGGCCTCCCAAAGTGCTGGGATTACAGGTATGAGCCATGGCACCTGGCCTTAAATTTTTTTTTTAAAGGACCTTATCATCAGTGCTCAAAGATAGTCAAAAGATAGCCATAGAAAATGACCAGTGGGGTCTGATGTTGGTCATGGAACATAGGGAGAAATTTGAGATTAACAGGAAATCAAATTAATGCTAATTAGATTGTTTTTCCCTGAGTAACAAAGACATATTAGGAGGATTTCTGCTCCTAAATTGCTGTTTACTATTCCAGAGTCAAAATACTTGATCCAATTCAGTAAATGGAATTGTACAAGAGACTAGTGATGCTTTACCTTTTATATCAGAAAATTTCTCAGAAATGCACGTAAGTTCAAGTTATTCTTTTATTATAAAATCACTCTATAAAGACTGCTTCCTATGTTTATGGACAAGGGAGAGGAAATGATACATGCTTAAAAGATGAGTTAGGAAGCCACTGTGATTGTTCAGATGATAGGCTGGGAGGGATAGTAAAAGCGAAATGGAAAAAATTATTAGAGACTATACAGTGGTCAGTGTTAGTTTCATATGGATCAAGTTGGGAGACTTTTAATAAAGCACAGGATTATTTACATAACCAATGCAATTCTCTGGGATAAAGGGCTCAATAAGTTAGAGTCTTTGGGAAAGCAATCTTAGAGCAGAGTTTAACAGCAGTACCAAGGAGTCACACTACCTGATGTGAAGGGCTGGTTCTATACCTTAGTATGGGAAGATTATTTAACTTCTCTCTGCTTAGTTTTCTCATCTTTAAAATAGTGCAATGAAGAATAAACCATTTAATAGAATTGATTATGTGTGGATTAAATGAAACAATACAAATAAGACATTTAGAACACTTAAAATGTGTTATCATTATTATGTTATTATGGTTATTATTTGGAGTCACATACACATGGTTTTAAATCACTCCTCCACTGTTTACTTGCTGTATCGCTGTGGGAAAATTAAACTCTCTAAGTACCCTTCTCTTTATTGAGGGAATTGAATTCATATGATGGCTTTAGGGGTTTGTTCAGATCCATGGAGGTAATCTTCTAACACATAGAATATGCTCAATAAATGACAGCACAAATTCACATTTTCTAAAGAGAAAAACACTTGGTTTAAATAACTTGACTGATTTTAGGGAGAGAATAAAACATATGTAGAAGTGAAATGTATCTACTGTATGTCATTTATTCAAAATTAATTTTAAATTTCCTTCCACTGACAAATATATTTAAAATGTACTGACTAATTAAATTTAGTTTAGTATTTTGTATGGATAGACAAATAGGTAAAAAAAAAGCAAACAAACAAACAAAAAACCAGACAAATGCATATAGAAAGAGTTGTCTCTCCAGACCCAATATTGGTAAATTTTAAAATCTTGAAGATGGATCATTTTGATGATAACACAGGTGTGCAGAATATACTAGATTGTTATGGATAAATGTTTGGCTTATAAAAATGGTACTGAATATTCATGCAAAAGCTCCCATATGATGTTAATTTAAACAAATCAAAATTAAATTCATTTCAACAAATGGAGGGCCATCTAAGTGCAAAGAAATTTTCCCGCTCGGTGTGTTTCTATCTATATTTTATTAATTTGTCTAAATCTTTTTAAAACACTTTTAAGCAGAAGCCTCCCTTAGAGTAATATGATACTTCACTTTAAATCTGAAGTTACATTTCCTTTTATTTGCTACAACTGTACATTTTTCTGGCTTCAACAATTATTAATTCTAGTAAATTATGATTTGATGATTCTTAGTTCTGTTTTTATACCATCCAAACTTTTTAAAGTTAAGTTTTTCTGAACTTTTTTTTTCCAATGTTTATTTTCCTGACATAAATAGGATCCATGTTAATAGTCTTATTATGTGCTAGCAAACCTGTGCCCAGTCTAGAGTGCAATACTCCCAGTCTGTTGAGTAATTTTATGTCGTCTGTTGATGCCATTTTTACAAGTGCTATAGAGGAATAAAGAAGAAGTGATGATGTGTAACCTCTCATGAAAGAACTGAAATTCTGGCCAGGGAATTTGTAATCAAATGACAATTTTTGTTTCACAGTTTTTTGTTTTTACAATTTTGGTAAACCTTAGATACCATGAGTATTTACTATGAATGAACAAGTCACAAGCTTCAATTAATACAAAAGTCTCAGAAATGTCCATTCTTGGTTGAATAGGTAACCTAGATTATTTTTGTGAGAAATGTGGATACCCATGAATGATTGCATGTATCTTCCAGTAAAACTGTTTCTAGTTCGTACTGATAAAATGAAATATAACGGTGCTTGGTATTTCTCAAAAGGCCTCATATTTCCTCATAAATTACCTGGGTCTAACATACTTGACATCTGCTGTTGCAGTGGTGTACAATATATACCTACATATAAATTGGCCTGGTACAATTCACAAAAGCACTAATAAGAATTATTTATAGACGCGAATGGTGATGTGATGTCAAAAGGTTTCTGTAGTGGTGTGTGTGGGATCAATTCTAAAGGAGAAGGAGCATGATTTGGTAGAAAAGGAACTCAGGTTTCATAGGAATGAACAAGAGTTATCTAAGAAAGATGATCGAATTGGGCCAGAGTCAGGAACTTGCCCATTTAATGAAACAATGTACAGTGAGGCAGGAGAAAAAAAAAAAAAAAGATTGGGAGGTCTCAAGAGAAATGGAAAGGGTATCAATAAGAAATTCCTAATCCTGGCAGCTGACTAAAAGTGGAACAAGCTTCCTAGCAAAGCTGTGATATCCACTGAGAGAAGAGAGATAATCAAGTCAAGAGTGTCTCCTTATAGGATGTTGTTTAAGGAATTAATACATTGGATAGAAGACAAACTAGATGCTTTCTAGGATATGTTCCACCTCTCAAATGCTGTGATTCACCTATTTGTATTGCTAATTAGCAGATGAATATAGTTTGTAAATGATATGACAATACAATTGATTGCTCTGTGATTATTAACTACCCCCTCTGCTAATAACAATGAGGTTTTTGGAAGATTTTTAAAGTGAAGCAATACATTTCTTTATGGGAAGATTATGTCATATTTTCTAACTTGATTTTGTAAAGCCCATTTAAAAAATCTCCTCTGTTGTTAGAAATGACAAATAACAAAAGTACAATTTTAGACTGAGATTTTAATATATATACTTTTGGGGGGATAAGAAGCATTAAAATAAATGAAGTCGAATAATTAAAAGCTGTATGTTTAGCTGACAATTTTTGGAATGGCACATATTTTGTCATACACTGTGGTATTCAAAAAAGCCCAGATTTGTCCCAAGTAAATAAAGAAATGTCTCTTAAATGTTTTCATCTCTAAAAGTCTGGTTTAGTGGTTTTAATATTTTCTTATGTTGATTTATCAGGATATGTATCTTGTGCAAAGTGTGGCGAGAACAGTATGTTTACATCAGTGAAGTATGTGGTAACTGAAAGGGCCTAAAAATGGTGATTTATGTTGGCTCAGGGCAAATGTTTTCTGAAAGGACATTGGCTTTGTGAGAATTTTTATATAAATAAATCAAACAAAATTCTGCTTTTCATTTCTAATGCTATTTGATTATTTTTTATAATCAAACTGGGTTTTTTTTTGCACGAGAAGTAGTGTAATGATTAGTACATCCCACCTCATGCTTATTTTAAAGATGAAATTTCAGGTTTTTAATCCGAAGAGCCCATTGTATACTTATCCTATAAAATGAGTGGGCTCTGTGCATTAAAATTTTTACCAAATGGATATGGTTTTATGAAATGGCAAAATGACTGCCTAAATGATGGCTCATAATCCCTAATGGACTTCTAAAAATTTGTGAAATATCAGAAATATTGGGAATGCATGGCTTTGGAGAAGGATAATGCACAGTAGTGATCAATATCATTTATTATCAGCAGAATGGCAGAACCCAATAAATAATTCACTTTCTTAAGGACCTACTGATACCTAGTGAATCCCTGTGTCATCATCAGCATTATTTAAAAGATGGCACAGAAGGTAACATCTGGGAGCCAATTCATCATTTAATTAAATTATCCTGTAATGAAATCTTCTGTAATGAGATTAATTTTAATTATTAATCAGGAGTTGACATGGGCACAAGGCATCATGAATAATAAATGAAAGGCTTTGTCTGTTCCATTTCTAAGAAAGGACCTACTTTACTGCAATGGTGCCTTTTATACAGCCATGCTGAATCCTCACAATGTGGCCATCCAAGAAGATGTCTTGATTTTTATTTCAGAACCTAAGAGAGGATAATTGACAGATACATTCAGATTTTGATTCCAAATCTGTGTATTTTTCCTGGACTCACCAATTTTTTGTTGAAGCAATTTTTGGTTTTAAAAATATTTTGAGGACGTCAAGGATAGAAAATCCTTTTCCAGAGTAATCTGGGGGTAAATTCCTAATTCAGGGACAAAAATGTCACCTTTTAAGGGACAAAAATAGGTAATGCAGTCACATTGTGGTATCAACCACAGATATGTTATTGTGCTCTTGTGTGGATGGTTTGTCAGCTCCTGACCACCCCAGATCTGCCACAGAGGGGTCACTGCCTCTGACCAGGCTTATATGGGGTACGAAGGAGATGGCAAATCAGTGGACTTACTCAATTCAGTGTGAACTCAGCAGTGCCCAGGGAGTACTGGCTCTCCATGTGGTCACCAAGCAGAGCCTTCCTCGAGACTCTGGCCATGTTGCTCAGTTCTGTGGCTTCTCCTTTCCCTTAGTTGCCTGAATGGAAGATGGCCATAAAGAGGAGGCATGAGTCCTGTTCTTTGAAGCCATGGAAATCAGGGTTAGGGCCACAGTAACAGGAAAGCAGACAGAAGGTCTTTAAGAACAAAGCAAAACATAACCTGTCTCACCTCCCTTAATTAAAGCTCTTCATTGTATTTCTAATTTTATTTGGACTAAACTCTAAAATCTTTAAAAAAGCTTCTCCTACTCCAGCTTATTTCAGTTGACCTATGCTGTGCCTCCTCTCACTTTCTCTCACCCCTTTGCCTTCTCCTCGGCCTACATATTCACTGTGCTACACTCTTCATGATGTTATTTTCAGAATTGGAAAGTGTGCTACACTCTCCATGATGTTAGTTTCAAAATTGGAAAGTGCCAAGACTTCTTCTGCTTTGAGGCTTTCTTATGTGCAGTTGTTTAGTCAGTTCAGTTTCTGTTGCCTTCTCTTGGATCTTTTTCAGATGCATTCCTAGTCATCCTTCAGGACCTAGCTTAAATGTCACTTCCACTGAGAAGCCTTCCCAGATTCCCAGTCTAATTTCTTTCGGATTGCTATATTTTCTCATGGCATCCATTGATTCATTCAAGATTGTGGTAAATTATATTAGACCTACTATGTGCCAGGGCTTTTGCTTTCCTTTCTTTAACTTATCAAAATGTATAATTATATAGTCATCCTCTATGATTATTGATTTATCTCTCCCACTAGACTGTAAGCCTTGAGAAGGCAAGGATCATGCTGAAACCTTGGCATCATGCCTGGTACATAGTATTCCCTCAATGAATACTTGATAAATGAATGAAAACAACAGAGAGGGGAACTTAACAATTTAATCTGTCAGACACTTGAAGGAGTCTCCTTAAGAGGCAATGCATTTTCCATCCATGGAAATGTTTAAAAAGAAACTAGACAACTCTGTGTTAGATTTGCCTCCAGAGAGAGAATTGAAGCATGAGAAAGGAAATTGAAATAGATGACCATAACAGTTTACTTTTTTTCTGTGTGGTGGTGATTCTAACATCTAGGAAATAATCAATAAATAGTTGCTTATTAATTGACTAAGACATTATATCTACTTGGTGACAGTCTCTCAATATTTGCTTTCCTGAAGAATATTTTTTTCTAATTTATTCTTTAAGCATTTATTCAGAATACTGTGAAAACCGAGACAACTGGTTCAATATTTTAGCTACAGCAATGTCCAGCACCAAAGAATCTCCGTGATTCTTTTTTCCTTTGATTTTATATTAATTGTGTTAGCAAAAACACTTGTCTTATATATTACAATAGTGATGAATGTATAGTAAAGGGAAAATAAGTAACATGATAATTGTAGTGAGTAATATCTGATTAGGTTGTACTATAAATTTTGAGTGTTATTATGTAAAGACAAAATTTTTGCAGGTAGCTGCACTAATCTTGCCTTCTGAAATAAGTTTTTTTAGGGTAAGGAACTTTACTGGTGGGCTGTGTGTATACTAAGGAAATCTTTCTTTTAATTGGTAAAATTCCACTGATTGGTAAAATTCCACTGCTCTCAGCTATCTTTCAATCTTGACCACTTAGTGTAATTAAAAAGACAGAGCAGAACAACACTGAGCCTCCTTATAGTTCTCCAGCCCCCTTTGCAATTCAGTCCGTGAAAATGAGTCTGTCTTCAGGGAGGATATTTCCCACACAGCTTAATAACTTGAAACTTGTAAGACAACAGAAATTTGAATTAGCAGATGCATATGCTAAAAGAAAAACATCTTTTTTAAAAAATCCAATTTTAAAGACTAAATTGTTCGTGATGTGCCTCAAAGGCACATGGGGACAGAATTCATGTAACTCCTCACATTCCTGTGCCTGAGAGAAGAGAGTCAAAACACCAGTGTTTAGGAACGAGAGATTTAAAGCAGTCTAGTCCAGAATGAATCTTTTCTTTCAACGCGATTTATTTGCAGGATAGTGGTAATAGTAAGACTTTCACAGTGGGATTTTTTGTTGTTGTTCTTGAGGGATATCTGGAAATTATATTAGTAATTGTGATTAGCAAGCTCTGCCTGAATGTATTTTCCTGCTACCATGTGTCTAGTTGGCATGTGTCACCAGGGCTGAACATTTTAGCACAAACTCAAAGTCGTATTGTATTTCAGTAGTTTTCCTACATGAGTCTGCATTTGCCAGTCTACCCATTTGATCTCTCTTAGCAAGGGAAAAAAGAACCCTAGTGACCTCCACCAAATTGTTTGTAAAATAAATAGACTATTGAAAATAAGCCGAATGAAATCTTATTTTATTAAGGCTGTATCATGTAGATCTTGTTTAGTATTCATATAAATATTAGAAATAGTACCTATATAAATAATATTTTATTATCCAGTTGTCTTTGATTGAAAAATTGCTTTTACTACTGAAATTTAAAAATCTAACCAGCAACTGAGCCACATAAAAGCTCAAGCCAATAAATAATACTCTTTAGCTAGTTTTAGGAGTGAGACGTCATCAAAGCACTAATTGACTATTTTATATAGCTTTTGCTATGGTTCAATGTGTTATGTGAGAGAATTCTTATTCCAGAAAAGAAAGAATAATTATATTTAGGTATGGCTGATGACCTGGAAGAGGTCTTTTTTGCACTTCCTTTTTTCAAGATAGTTTATTGCTCTGGATCATAAAGGAGAACATTTTTTAAAAAACTGAAAGAATTGCAACAGTGGTTCAGCAATGCATCTGTGTATGCCTAGGGCTTTGCTTCTCCTTTTTGGCTAATTACAGAAGGACTCAACAATCAGTGCTCAAGTAGACTTTGATTACTAGTTTATACATCTTTATAAGCACTTTTTTATTTTTTTAATTTAATTTTTTAAATTGTACTTTAGGTTCTGGGGTACATATGCAATCATGCAGGATTGTTGCATAGGTACACACATGGCAATGTGATTTGCTGCCTCCATCCCCCTGTTACCTACATCTGGCATTTCTCCCCATGTTGTTATATCCCTCCCTGACCTCCCCACCACCCCACTGTCCCTCCCTTGCCCTCCGGCGACAGACCCCAGTGTGTGGTGCTCCCCTCCCTGTGTCCATGTGTTCTCATTGTTCATCACCCACCTATGAGTGAGAACATGCGGTTTGCATGCACTTTCATTTTCTCTCTTGAAATTGTCCTAAACATAAATAAAAATAATTAGTAACATTATTCATCAGGTTCATTTAATTTGTTCAGCTGATATTTATTGAGGATTCTACTACATGCCAGTCATGGTTCCTGATGAACAATGACAAACTCTGTTCTTGCCCTCATGTTGCTTGCAATCAAGTTGTTAAGAGAGAGATAAAGCAAATAACCATGCAAGTAAGTATACAATCCAACTGTCTTAAGTGCTGCAGAGTTAGGTAAGCAGTTAAATGGTTTCTCTGAGGAAGGGATTGATTGAAGACTAAAACTAATAAGTAGGAGTTAAGTAGGAAGAGGCTCTTGGAGAGGACATTCTAGGTGGAGGAATAATGTATACACTCTGTAGGGGGAGGGAGCGTGGTGCATTCTGAATGGAACCCCGAAAACAGAGTGAAGCGTTTGGGTGCAGTAAAGCTATGCAGGTGAGTAGGGGACAGGACATCAAACACTTGTAGGCCACATTTAGGGTCTTTTTTATCTTCATCCCAGGAGCAACAGGAAGGCTTTAACAAGTTAAAAGAGAGAGAGAGAGTGAGGGAGCATTGCTTTTAGCAAAGGTGACTTTGGCTGTACTCGTAGACCATAGGTTAGAGGCATTAATAAAGGATAAAACATAATGATTGTGATTTATCATAATACAAATGGAAGAAATTAAAAATCGTGAATCCAAAATGATGCTTCAGAATTGGATAGGGTAGAGGAAAGCTCTGCTTTACAGAAAAGTGCCAACTATTTTAAGTAGACAGAACGATGGAATGTCACCATTTTTGCAGTTCCTGATAGGATAACTGATCAGGGTATCATTAACAGATGCTAAAAGTGTTAGATGAATGCTTTTTGGGAATAATATATTCCTGTGGTGCCACAATATTACTGTAAAGACCGTTTACTAGTAAGAGAGGAAAAATTTGACTTTACAGTGGTGATATCGCAGGGTCAACACCTGAATCAAGGGATTAAATTAAACTTCATAAATAGTGGGACAGCCTGATTTTGCAGGTTGTGTGATGTGATACAATATGGAGTACCTAACCTTACAAATGAAGTGTTTCTACACAAGAAGAAAAAAGTCAAACCTGACCAGAATCAAACCTTTAAACAGAACACTGTCTGTAGAGAATGTAAGAAATCGTGGATGAATTAAATTATACCATAAGGTGAGATATTCTGTAAGAACCCTGGCTTGGATATTTCAGGCAAAATCAAAGACATGTAACAGCAAAACAAGCAGTTGTATTTTGGTTTTAAAAAGCTATCAAAGATCTTCTTGGGACAATTGGAGATATTAGAGGATTTTATGGTATTGTTAATTTTTATAGGTTTAATAATAAGCTTAGTCTTAGGAGATCATTTATAATTACTGGTGAAATTTGACATATGCAACTTATTTCCAAATGATTTAACAGCAATGATGCATATAAGGTACAGGTAAAATAAATATGGAAACATGTTAAGAACTGTGAAACCTTGGAGGATAATATCTAAGTGTTAATTGCACTAATCTTTCCACTTTTTGTATCTATGAAAATTTTTACAATAAAAAGTTGGAGGGAGAGAGTAGATGGCAAGGTGGGTAGTTACTTGCTTCACCCTGCACATCTGGCTGAAACCAGAGTTTCTGGTCTTTGGCTAACTACAGCTGGTGGGTGAATCTTTCATCAACTCAGAAAGTCACCCCAATATCTGGAACCTCAATCTGCCATGTTCTCCAGGTTCTGAACACATGCTGTGCTGACATCAACAGTGTAAATATGTGTTGTGTGGTATGAATCTTGGTCTGTGCATACCTCCAGCAAGAACGTGGGACTTAGTCTTGATTTGTGTCTGTAGCAGAGAGAGTATCTGTGCTTGGTTTAAACCACACAGAATGGATATCTGTGGAAAACCTGTGAGGAGGCTATGCAGTAGATCCAACAGCAGAAAATGTGATAGCTTCATACCAGGATGCTAGTGATGAGAGAGAGAGAAGCATAAGATGTGGGAAATGAATAAATTTTAGGTGGTAAAAAATGACTGGACATCATATTGTATTACTAATAGGAGAATAAGACAGAGAGGGATATAATGCATGACTGCTTGGTTTTTTTATTTATATAAATGGAAGAATGTTGGTGTCAGACACACAGGTCAGAACTCTGAAAGTGAACAAGTATGGGAAGAAAGATCCAAGGTTTGTTGTTAAACATCATGGGAAACGTATTATTTCCATCAAAGTGGAAACGTATTATTTGTATATGTTGGGTAGTTAAACCTAGTTTAGATGGAAAAACAGACCTTCAGAAAGTATTGTACTACATTTATTTTGCACAAAGTAGCACTAATTTGGTATACATTGCTAATTGCTCTCATTTAAAACAGTTTCGAGACAAATAATAAACATTTTAATGGCAACGGTGTAAAAAGCACTTTTCTGTGCTGTTTATTTTCTATAAAACTATGCTATATAAAATATTATATAAGCTATTTCTTTTTAATAATTTGTTCAAATGTGAAGGGGAACATTAATTCTTTGTAAGAATTAGAAAAAGCTAAATACTTACTTTAGAGCTTACTTTTGGGACTTACCATCTAGTCATTAGCTTGAAAATTACCAAAATATTTCTACCATAAGCAATAGATACCCATTTTAGAAATATTAATTAGTAAAAAGAAAAAAAGTCACTCAATTTTACTAGCATTTGATGTAGATAATATATATTCATTTTAAACTCAAAATCTCTTTGTACCTTACATGTAGT